TGATAATTCCGTTTTATATGAATTCCATGTTGTACGAGTCACTTAGATTTTACAAATACTTGTGCCAGGCTGTGGACGGCTCACGTATTTGTAAAATTTAAGTGACTCGTACAACATTGAATTCATATAAAACGGAATAATCAACAGTGTTATAGGGGGGGTCGACTGTACTTATTTCAGAGTTAAAACAGCTGCAGAAGTCGTTTGCGTGTAAAAAAAAGTAGTTATATATATATATATATATATATTGTTTTTTCGACACCATTTCTACTGTCAATATTTATTTATGTTTACATTATCTTACTTGAAAACGGAAGAAAGGTAGAATAACACATAGCTACTTCGCTTCAATTACAATAGTACACATACTTAACATGTATATAATTTATTATAACTAAATGTGTAAATAAACATTTAAATTTTCAGTAACCTTATTTAATTTTTCAGGTGTTACACCCATAATAAAGTCTACTAAAAATAGTTTACTTTATTATATTCTTATTTTTATCATAATAATTTGTACAGTTAGGAATATACTGTATATACAATTATCTTAAGTAGGTTATTTATATTTCAGTTATTGACTATTTAAATATTTACTGTACAAGATGGAGGGCAGTTAAGGTGTTAACCTATAGGTTTGAGAGACCTGAGATCGAAGCCGTGAAGTTTTCAGGGATGGTCAGTCCCTATTTTAAGCCCTCCTTGTCATTCGGCCTCCCCTTTTTCAGTCCTTGATGAGTATGGTAAAGAAAAGGCCCTCAAGGTGGAAAGAAATTTGAATCATCGATACTTTGAATACAATTTCCTCTAGTTTTATTGATTATTAATTAATGATACAAAATTATTATTATTTTTTTATTAAAGATATAATTATCTTCATTGTCTATGCCTAATGTTAGAAAATTATATGTTGTAACCGCAATAAATCTAGTGTTATTAATTAAAGTACTGTACTTGTTCGTAAATGCATTCATTATATAATACAAGTAGAAAAAAGTTTTATGGAGAAAATTTAATTATACTTTTAAAAATTTATTGTGAAATAAACATAAAAATATACAATTAATTATTTATTGTGATATTGTCACAATGCCGTGTTGTAATTTTTAATTTAATTTTAAATATATTATCTCCACATTAAATTAGTAATTTTAAGCAGAATTAAACAAAAAGTTTACCTAATTATTTACATTTCTTAGTATCTAGTAAGTGTAGGAACGTGTATAGCTATTATTTAATAAGAAGACACGTGCTAATAATTTTTATATTCTTTCCAGAAACAAGATGAAGTACGATTTCATCCACAGACATTTATCACGATCATTTAGAAAATTGGGCTATTGTATAGGAGAATATCCATTAAAATTCTCATTAATACCATTGCTAATAATAGCCATATTTTCGACAGGACTTTATAGAATAAAAATATTAAAAAATACAGAATATATGTACAGTCCTTTAAATGGAAGAGCAAGAATTGAGAGGAATGCAGTGGAATCTATATTCCCTCCAAACATGTCTGACATTGATGTTTCTAGAATTACAAGGTTTGGAAGGTTAGGTTTAATGATGTTCGAAGAAAAAAATCAAGGATCTCTTATGAAAGAAATTTTCATGGACGAGGTTGTTAAAGCTCACAAAGCTGTCGAAGATATGAGTATTATTTGGAAAAATAGGACATACAAATACTCGGATTTATGTGCAACAACCTATCAAGGTCAATGTCTTGAAAATGATTTACTGAAACTTAAAGGTAAAATTGAAGATATTAAAAATAAGAGAATCCGAATAAGGTAAAATATATTTAAAAGTATTGTTATAAATTTTATATTATTTAATAAATATTTTAAATTTATTTATTTATAAGCTTTAAACCGTACACTGTTAAGACACATATAGTTCAAAATCGTATTTTGAATGAAGAGTGTTTAGAGAATGGGTAATTGTTTCCATTGACAGCCTATTTTCATCACATAGCGAATTGCGTTAATAATTGTTCTAATATTATGTTTTCTTGGTCTTCTAGTCTTTTTAGGTTTAAAATATAGCTCTATTATCTTCCATTCTTTGTCGCTTATATCACTTGGGTACATCTTAAATGTATCTTATACTCTCCTTTTAAAATTTTTCTCTTCTAAATTTCGCCCACCATTGATCATTAGTGGTTGATCGTGGGTTCAGTGAGGGCCACGTGGAGTTTTTCGAATTATCTTCACGTGTTGAACATCTAAATTGGAACCAGTTTTCTATTTTAAAAAATCTCGCCGGAAGACATCTGCCCTTGGCAGATTGCCCACGTGTTGCGTTGTCGTATCTCACCAAACAATTCTTTTAGCATATATAAGCTGTTAAATTAAATTAAACTTAAACTAAAACTAATTGACTCCAGCTTACAGCATGGTTCAATCCGGGCTATCGAAAAAAAAAACCCTGGGAATTTTCGGGATGGTCTTCCCGGCTGCTCTTATTCTGGACGTGGTCGAACCCAAATGGTTACAATTAAAAGGGCCCGTGGTCGTCAGGTTGCACCTCGTCAACGTGTAATTTTCTGGGTTTTCTTCACTGTTTTAACATCTAAATTGGGGTCCAGTTTACAATAGAGTCTTCCTGGGAAGCATGCCTTTGACAGATTTCCCATATGATTCGTTGCTGTATACAAACAGGCACACTTTTCTGAGTGATCTGTCACATCTCATAATCTCGAGTAGTACGAGCAGTTCTACAAACGAATTGAAAATATCACATAATTATTTACTCGTTCAGTATGTATCTCATCGAACATATTTATACTATGTAACGTCCTCGACATATTCGTATTGCTACACGCGTAACTGTACATTGTATTTACCCGAGAAATATTCCGAACTGAACAGTAAACAGACTCTTCAGGCAATGGGCGTTATACCTTCATGCGGTCTGGAGAATTTCAATTAGAGAGCCTTATGTACAGTGTTGACTTCAGGCANTTTCTTCTGTTTGCTGGAATCAGAGACGAGCCGCCATTTTACTCACCATAAGTAACATTAACTGCACAATTATATCATGCGATCACCAGAAAAAGTATGATAACTTTATTATTTTTCCTCTCCGGTCCAAAAGTAGGGTATCGTTGAAGTCGTCTCGGTCTCCTCAGTTCAGATAGATACTCAAAGCCCCGAAATTCCATAGATGGTTATCTATATAATAATATCCCTAATTGTATTAATATTTTAAACCGTTTGATTTTTTGTATGTTTTTTAATTGGTTGATAATTGATTCTATCAACTAATTTGTCGATTGTTTGATTGTATTAACTTAATTCTTTAGATATCGAAAATTAAATAAAGAACATTATGTTAATTTAAGCGTACAGAAACGTTGTTAATCTGCAGATTAGCTAGGTAATGTACACATTAACGACTTTCGAGCTTTAGCGGTAACATATATATATATATATATGTATACATACAGACAGAACAGATAGACAATCATTCTGTTCAAGTAAAACTATATAGTTTTACTTATGTGTCAAGGTATAACTTGTCTTATGCTATTTGTTAATTTGTTATTTTAATTTGATTTTCTTTATTTAATATTTAATGGGTGAAGTTCTCAGCTTAGAGACTTTTTTCTCACAAAATTAAATTTGTTGTAGAATATTCCGTTTTTTTTTTCTTTTTAATGATAAATGTGATTGATTATGTTAAGTAAAACAAACGAGGAAAAAGTTCAACCAATTCAACGACTTAACCTTGAATTTACTGACTTTTTAATTGTTTCAAGAATGGTTTCTTAATCGTTTAAATACCATTCTTGTTAAATTTTACGGGTTTTTATTCGATCCCTATAGATTTATTTCAAATTTTATATGCAATAAAAATTAATTAATTAGGATAAAGCTGAATAAAGATTTAATCCATCGGTAAGAGAATATTTTCTTATAAAGAAACAAAATTTCTTTTTAAAGAATGTACTGTACTTATTGTCATTTTTAAAATTTTCGTGATGTCTCGCAATGACAATATATCATTAAATGTAGAATAGGAAAATAAATTCAGTAAATATTATTTATTTTATTTTTAGATTATATAATAAAAGTATTACATAATTAAAAAAGCATCAATGATAAATGTATTCATTTATTTCCGTAATAAAAATAAATAACATACGAAATAAATTACGTCCTCGTATTTTTTTAAATATAAAATCTGATAGTTCAATCACGTGTTCGCGCCTGACCAACGGTCTATCCACGTGGAAATTCCCGAATTTCTCCACGTGTAGCACCTAAATACAGACCAGTTTCTAATAGAAAGTCTTCCCCTCTTGGCAGATCGTCCATGCATTGTGCTGAAGTATCATCAAACCAAACTAATCAATCATACTTTGAGGGGGTAAAAAGTGTATATATATGAATAATACGAGGAATATTGTCATCCTTATACACTGTTTTACAAGTAATTAGAATTTAAACTAACATTGAATAAATAAACGTTAACTTCTATAAGTGTCTTATTAAACTAATTGACTAAAAACAGATCACTTTTATGAATAAAATTGTTGATAAAAATACAGAACAATCTTATATGAGTGGATAATTGGACAATTATCTAATTTAATAAAATTACAGGTAATTTAAGGATCGTAAGTATGGATCGTTTGTAACTCGATTGTTCTTGTATTATATACTGTAATAGTATACGTAAGAGCACTAACTTTATTAATAGTACTTGAAAGAAGATGCTATTATTATTTTATATTATTTATAAATTAATAATGTGATATAATTTGCTAATTATACGTAAAAAAAGCAAAAATTTGTTCGTATAAATGTTTGATATATTTTTTTTTTTAATTCTAAAGAAATTCATTACAATTGTAAATTAGTTACGTCGTTATTTACGTCATAAAAGACAGTTGTTTTGTTAAAAATAAGCGTAACATTATTAATGATGTTTATTTGACGTCATATAATATATCGTTAGGAATTTCTAATGACTTTTAACACGTCTCGATTTATAATATATACGTCTGGAATTGTCTATTTTCGAAGAAATCTTCTATTATCTTCATTTTATTCATTAACCAGTTACACAACGTTACAATTTATGTTACTTTTATTTATCTACAACTTCTCATTTCAATTATATTTACAAATTAAGAAAATTTTTTCTCACTCTATAACTTAATTATAGAAAAAAAATGCATATCAAGGTTCACAAGAGGTGGTGCCTCCCGAGAGACTTTCTATGGAAAACAGACCCTTAATCACGTGTTACAAACGTGAAGAAAACCCGAAAAACTCTACGTGTCTACCCCGTTGTCTTGGTGCAAACACTCCCGACCAACTATTAGTGTTCAGTGATTTTATCCATTACGCCAGTGATGGGCATGAAACAGTGGCATGTTATAATTTCAATTAGAGGACCCATGCACAGTGTCTACGTCAGACAAGGGAACTTTTCTCTTGTAGAACATTGATTTAGGGCTCCCTATCAGTGAGAACCCCAAGCAATTGCTCTTTTTCGCCTATAGGATAACACACCACTGGCAGGAAATAGATATAAACGTAATATTAGATGAAACAATCCTAGCCAAGTAAATTGAATACCTAATGTTAACTCTAATTTTTATAATTAATTTATATGTATCTAGTTGAACCGTACAAGACATATTTCATTGAAAAACAAAACCATTATTTTCCAAAATCTCAGAGCGGTGCAAGGTTGCTAGGAATCCAAGGCAGTCTCGCTTATATTGAGAATTTTAATTATATTGAGGTATAATTATGAAGACGACTGGGAAATCCCGGACACAAGGAAATGCTGGACATGAAATATTGTAAAAAATAAAAGGTTAGTAGCAATGTCATGTTTCTTATCAGCCACGTAGTAACGACAGATGTTATTATGTTACGTTTCTTCTCTTTCGTGTAGCTGAATGACTTTATGATTGTGCTATTTATTTGCTATATATTGAAAGGTAAATAGATTAGCTTCTTTTTTCCCAAAGCTGATTAGAATCGAACTTGGAGATTTAGGACACAACCTCAAACACAATTTTATAATGTCCAGAATTGTCTCGTGATTTACTTTACGGTATATTTACTAGGATTTTCTCATAATATATTAAGTTGTAACCTAAAATTAAACAGTAATATAAGGAAACTGAAGATCTGCTCTTAACCGTCTTAACCTGAACTTGTAAAGTTAATCCGTTGAGATGTTTTTCCCTTTATTTGAGATGTTTATTTCCTTTATTTTATTAATTGACGAATCTATTATATTTCATTTCCTTATTTCGTTTCCCTGTAAAATTTTGATCAGTTTTTAGCTGTCTATACTTGCCTCAGGTACTACCTACCTGGCCAGGTGTTACCCCTCACTACAGGAGAATATCGGACACTATAGAGTTATCTATTATTTTATTTTTTTGCGAGGGGAAAACTGGTTAGATTTCTTCTAAATATCGTACCCCATACATTAACCAATAGATTTGAGTATCGAATGAAATAAAAAGATCTACTTTTACTCTAACAGGTCTCGTGATACAGATAAAAATTTAACTTGTGTTCAATCTTCTCTATATACAGTAAAATTGTATAAACCGGTATAACACGGTACTGAATATTTTTAATAGACATTATAGACTAAACCTCAGAATTACAGATGTGGTTTCTATTTGATTGGCTTAATTGTAACATTGAAAGTTATAGCATAAAAAATTATTTATATTTAGTATGTGAATGTTTTATGCAAATGTTTATTTAAGGAAATAACCTTTAAAAACCATATCTAATTATTAATTTTTATATGTTCTATTTGTAGTGTGTCCTTGTGACTCGTATGAATAAAATTTCGATTGATTGACTGTAGATTTTAATATTTATCTTAAATGATATTATGAACACCAGCAAAGTGAAGTATAAATTGTTTATAAATTACATAATAAAATCTTACTTTTTGTTTAATTTAATCACAATTTTCCTATGTTCGTTTTACATTCATTTTCTACTTGATAGATTAACATTATTTTTAATATATTTATTTAAAAAATGACTCACGTCTAATCTTTAGCTGCACAGACTATAACAAATGTTAATAAAAAGTTTGTTCTACTTTATATTAGTACATTTAAACTATATTTTATCATTCACAAAGGCTTATAAACCAAATATTTATGGTATTTTAATTTGTACTCGTATAATAAATCATATTATATATATAAGTAATGTTTACTTTTTTCTGAACTGTTCTTTGTAAATGCGGAAGATACGTCAAATAAATAATTTATACTATTTTAGATAATAATAACAGAAAAATAATCAATATAAATGATAATGTTTTATTGTTAAAGAGAGCATAAATACACTTTAAACGCACGAATGAATGCTTTCAGAATTGAAAAACTGTATTAGAGTTTATTTTTTAAATTATTTTATTCTCTTCTTTTTTTTATAAATATTTCAGGTAAAACTATTTTGACATTGAAAATTTATAACAAAAAAGAAAAAAACTCACTCGTTCATAACTAATCCATTGAAATATCGCGTAGAAACTCTATTCTTAGTTTTCTAAACAATAGAAGTTTTGAAATTTAATCGCTATTTAATACTTTGTCTGTGAATTTTGTTTTTAAAATTTTTCCTCACATTCCGAGCATTGTTTCCATGTAGAATATTTAGTATTTAAAATAAAATAAGTCACAAATTGCATATATTTTGTCAGACAATGGAGTTTTAAACTCGAGGAAAAAAATGTTTTCCAATGTTAATAATTGCTCTGTAATGAACGTGTATTGACAATGTCATTATTGTTAATGTAAGAAAAAAATATATATATATATATAGATATATATATTTTTTACATTAACAATAATATAGCCTATATATATTTTTTTCAAATACAGTAAAACCTGTTCAAAACGGAAACTGAATAAAGGGAAACCTGTCTAAACAGAGAATGAAGTGTTATAATGCAATAATTATATTTATATAATTTTCCAATATTTAATCCAAATAACACATTGTTTACTTTCTAATTTAAAATATTTATTACTAAAATAAATTAATTTTTCTGTTTGAAATTATACTAGGCAAGTGTGTCTTCATCCATAACGTTATTTTAATGATTATTGTAATGTACAGTACAGCACTCTTTATATAAAAAGTGAGTGGGGGGAAAGTACTCGAAATTCTCAATTTCTCTATAGAATTGTTAGGGAAAAAGTTTTTAATGATGATCATTTGTAGACAATACGAATTGAAGTCAGTAATAGTTATTTAAAGTATTATGTAGTTAAGGTTTGGTTGAGTAATGCTATACAATATACACAACACATCAAACTGATGTATACTTTACAGATAGAAGGCAAAGGAGAAACGTAATACTTCACAATTGACAAAACATAAAGGTAATAATTTTTTAGGATTTATATTTATAGACAAGAATCTAGTACTATTTATTCATTGACTTAAAGGTAAATTTATGCAGTGTGAGTTTGTGTATTCATTTAAATTATACAGTACAATGTGATAGATAATATTTAGTACGCGATAATTTTTTAAATTATATTTTGAGTGATATAACATAAAATCAGTTAAACATTTTTATTAATTTTTACTTGACTTTACTATTATGTTAATAAGTACTGTACAATGGCGGTTTAACCAATAATAATAATACTAGAACCTCGTCGTGTCGAGGAGCCTTAAAAATTACGTTAAAAAATTGTATATCACGAAGAAAAAGTTTGTTATTATTTAAGGATTTTATTGTCTTTTTA